CCACATGCATTGCTGGTCATTTGTTTCATGACTTTTTGTTTTGACATTACATTACAATATTAGTATTGGGTCTGAAATATAAGGTATCATTTGAAAGTTCTTACTTTTGAAGTTTTCCTATGAGTGATTTTTATTTGTTTTATATGAATTTGAAAAGAAATTGAAAATTTAATGTTTATTTGAGAGTGTAACAGGCTAACTTCTTATTGTATTTAATTTTTGGTGAGGTGGCCAGAGTTTTACGCACCAAGAAAATATCCCATGAGCTGTGGTAGTTGTTGTTGAGGAATGAGTCTTGATGAAGTCTACAAAATGAAGATTCACAAAATGTAGTAGATATTACAGATGCCCTTCCTAGGACTTCTAGTGTTATGCCAACTGGAATTACTGGCACCTTCAGTACAATGCCGGGCCTTAGAAGAGCTTCTAAACATCCTCTTTCAAAAACATCAGAGAATAGCTTGAAAGCAGGTAATGGTGAAAACAGAGTGGCAGTTTTATTTTATTAAAGCAATTGATTGTTTGAGTGAGTCATAAACGCTTGTGAAGTTAAGAGACCGTTGAAGAAAATTTAAAAGGATTGATTAAAAACGAGGTTAATTTAGGGGCCCTTGTGTTATTTTGATTTCACTTGATGCATTGAATTTGCTAATATTTATGAAGACTATATTTTTACTCTCTCTGCTTTTGTGCTAGAAAAAATACACTCTGCAATTGTCTGGGCTGAATGTGCAAAACTTGTTGACTCCACTGGTCAGGCCAGGAGTGGTGAGTGTGAATGAATAGTCACAGGAGGCAGTCCAACACACTGTCACTGAGCATCTTCTTGTCTATTATTGTGTGTGACCTAAGCTGCATTACCATGAGGTAGAGTATAGATTTTTCAGTAATACACCAAAACCTGATCATATAGGATGGGATATATATATATATATATATATATATATATATATATATATATATATATATATATATATATATATATATATATATATATATATATATATATATATATATATATATATATATATATATATATATATATATATATATATATATATATATATATATATATATATATATATATATATATATATATATATATATATATATATATATATATATATATATATATATATATATATATATATATATATATATATATATATATATATATATATATATATATATATATATACATATACATACATACATACAAGTAATCATTTAGGTGTATAAGTGATTTCAGGGTGAGTACAGGAGACCAGGTCCACAATGGTCAGGTATTAGGTATTAGGTGTGCTATTTAAAGATTAGTAAGGTCATTACCTAATACCTGACCATTGTGACCTGGTTCACCCTTCTCTGTATATATACACCTTGATTTGTATTATTGTACTCTCATAGTCTGTATCTGTTCCCTGAAGATGTGAATTACACCAGGCGCTTTGGGAACTTCGTGGTTTTCTTTCCTTTGTGGTTATCATATATTATATATATATATATATATATATATATATATATATATATATATATATATATATATATATATATATATATATATATATATATATATATATATATATATATATATATATATATATATATATATATATATATATATATATATATATATATATATATATATATATTGTTATATATATATATATATATATATATATATATATATATATATATATATATATATATATATATATATATATATATATATATACATACATAAGTATAGTATAGGGTATAGATATAGATATATATATATATATATATATATATATATATATATATATATATATATATATATATATATATATATATATATATATATATATATATATATATATATATACACAGTGGTAGCGGAAAGTTTGGGCGCAAAATTACAGGCGCCCAAACTTTCCGCTATTATCAAAACATACGATAAATACCAATTTCCGCCCAAACCTTTCGCTATACTTCAATGCTAGGGTTTGTACCGCTATTTAGGCGAGACAATACGCACGACTTGGCAACTCTGATTAGTCGCTTCAGTGAGCACGTGGGTGCAGTGTGTAAACTTCTCTCACGCGGACTAGTCATTTTTTTGCGTTTTTTTCTGTGTTTGTGCCTCAATATCTCTGTAATGGGAAGTGGTAAAGAGCTGGGAAGAGACACAATTGTTGCTATTATAACCCTCTATAAGGAGGGTTATAAGTGTAAAGATATAGCCACTCGTGTGGGAATAGGAGTGCGGCAAGTTCAAAAGTGGATCAAGAAATTTAGAGACGGCGGAGGTGAGGATATTCCTACCCTCAAGCCTCGCTCTGGTAGGCCAAGGAAAATACAAAATCGTACTTCCAAGGTTATAAAGAGGCAGTTGGATAAAAATTCAACACTCACAGCTCGAAAACTGAGGGAAAATAACCCTGCACTGCTCCAGGACGTGTCTGTAAGATGTATTTCTGATCATTTACTCAAAGATTTACAATATCGCAGTTGTTGTGCTAAAGTTCTTCCCCTCTTAAGTGCAAAAAATGTACGGGATCGCATTGCTTTTAGCAAGAAATATAAGGATTGGACCCTAGAAGACTGGGAACAAGTCTTGTGGAGTGATGAGTCAACGTTTGTGGTGTCATCTGGCTGCAGGTCCAAGCGTGTCAGGCGTCCCAAAGGATCGGACCCAAATGACCCCCGCTACACAGCTAAAGTTGTAAAGCATGCTCCAAGTGTTATGGTGTGGGGATGCTTTGCATTTGGTGGAGTTGGCAATTTAGTATTTTTTGAAAAAAATGAGAGTGTAAATCAGCACAGTTATTTCGAGTTATTGTGTGATAACCTGCCTGAAAGCTTTGAAAAGTGTAACGCTAGCTGGTTTATGCAAGATGGAGCTCCTGCTCACACAGCTCGATCTATTATCCAGTGGTTAGAGGACTGTGGTGTAGATTACTTCAAAAAGTGGCCTGGGAATTCACCAGACCTAAATCCCATAGAGCACGTGTGGCATATCATTAAAAAAGAGCTTCAGGATCGTGACGCTTCGACAGTAGCGAAGCTAAAAATAGAAATACAGGATATTTGGGATAATATCATTCCCCAACACATAGAAAAACTGGCAAGATGCATCCCACAACGTTTGGAGAAGGTCATCAAGCTTAGAGGAAAATCGCTTGGCAAATAAGGTACGTCATGAGCCCTTTAAATGTCTATTTAAATGTCACAATTGTTTACATTCGTCTTGCGCCCAAACTTTCCGCTACCACTGTATATATATATATATAACTATATATATATAACTATATATATATATATTTAGTTATATATATATATATATATATATATATATATATATATATATATATATATATATATATATATATATATATACACACACACAGTAGTACCCCGCTTAACGCGGTCAATAAAACCCACAGGGTACGTGTTAAGTGAAAACCACGCTAAGTGAACAACAGAACATATGGGATTAATTCCAATAGAAACTGGCCCACCCCCAAACTCCACTTTTTCCGACACAATACCTATGTTCTAGTAAAAATAACATCTTAATTTTATGATGGTACATGCACACAATTAATACTTAAGAGAAATAGAGAAATACAGTCGCCAAGTTAATGTCCATTCAAATAATGGACTCAACTCCCTCCCCTTTTCTCACACTACACTGCTGACTCTTCCTCTCTGAGAAATTTTGGGGGGAAAAACCACTAAATTTTAATAAATAATACCTCAAACTAAAGTTAGGATAATATAATTGACATTGCTGGATTCCTTGTAAAACCAGGAATATTTTGAATATAAATGTCATATATTTTGCACAAAAGATAACATATTTACTCAGAGTAAACATTATATCTAAAATTTGTATGTCTAATGCAGAATCTATGATGTTTATATTCAAAATGATCATCAAATTGTAAGAATTCCAGCAATGTAAATTATATTCTGGCCGGGTAATTTGTATGAATTTTATGAGCTAAAACATATATCTTCATTAAATAAACAAAGAAATATTTGAAAATGCGCTCCGAAATCCATGCCGGAAAACTGAAGGTTCCGGTTTATCGATTGCCGGATTTTTGATGGTCAACCTGTATGTAACTTTCTTCATTTATTTTTTACTCATTTGCATGCACACACCATCTTAAATACATATTGTGATAAAAATAAAAGATATAATTGTCCTATGGGTAAACCTGTAATAAATTAATTACTAAATTTTTTATCTCTAGTGCAAACTATATGATGTTTATATTCACATTAATCATTATCTTACAAATAATACAGCAATGCAAATTATATACTGTACTGCCAAGTCAATTGAGTGACATTTTATAAGGGAAAACTCCTTCTGCTTGATAACTATGCACTTTGTTATCTCCCGTCCCTGACAGCTGTCAACACATCACCCTCCCCCTTCCTGACAGCCAGGGTGAAGGCAGTTTAGGTTTAAAATTTTTGTCTTATAAAATGTCACACTAAACTTAACAGAATATAAATTACATTGCTGGAATCCTATTAATATAGTGATTAATTTGAATATAAACATCACATAGTTTAATTGAAGTTTCTAGCAGTCCATGGTGCTTTAGAGACACAGGTGGTGTATAATTAGTGGGTCAGAGGTGTACAGTATTGCTGAATTACAGCTCCTCCCCGACTTACGACGGGGTTAGGGACCCAAATCCAGGTCGTAAGTCGAAAATGCTTAAATAATACTTAGAAAATCTAAAATGGGTGTCTCTTTTTCTTCTCAGCACCACCAAACTCTTACTTTTAAGCTTGCCAGCCATTTTAAAGTGAATTACAAAATTTTTTTTTTGTCTGTGTACTGACGTTGGGACTCGAAAATACGTAATTTGACAAAATTTTGGTACGACTGGGGACGACTGGGGCAGGTCGTAAGTGTGGGTAGTCGTAAGTCGAGTAGGTTGTAAGTCAGGGAGGAGCTGTATTATTACCTGACCTTGCTTGGTCCGGCAAAACGGATAATCCGGCAAAACGGATAATCCGGCAAGGCTTTGGATCCAAGGGTGCCAGAAAGTCGGTGGTGTACCTGTATATTAATCTACACCACGAAGATGCCGGAAAACCAGCTTTTTGAAGTGACATATATTGTATAAGTATGGAAACACAGAACAAGGCTGACATTCCACAGTTTGGCTGTGTGAGGAAAGAAGGATGTACTATAACGGGTTATTCCAGTGTGACCAACAGCCACAGAGAAATGGTGGGCACCTCAGGCAAGGCGAGTGTTACGAGCCCAACACCTTGCCGGCTGTACACAGGATGCCAAATCCACCGAACATTGCCCATTAAAGTACCTGTAAAAGAGAGAGTGAAGCAACATTGCAGTGCAGAGAAAGGGAAGAAAGATTGTCAACATTGAGGCAAAGTGAAGGAAGAAAGATTGTCAACTAAAGGAGGAGAGTTAATAAGACAAAATGCCTTTCATTCCA